CTATACAGGAAATTGAATGTTAAGAAGTTGAATATTGTCATAAATCATAGGTGTCACGTTACGTTTATATAGGTGTCACATTACGTTACGTTTATGTAAATATGATCTATGATAACATTCAGGGTATGTTTGGTTTGGATTTGTAGAATGATTTTGGGGAAAAAAATTAAAAAAAATTGTTTGGTTTGTAAATTTTTCAAAACAATTTTCAAAATCACTTTCTCTCTCTTACCTATCAATCAATCACTTTTTCTCTCTCCTCTTTCTTTCTCAATCACTTTTTCTCTCACACATCTACTCAATTATAACAAAATATCAAATCATTCCAAACTCTCAAATTTCAAAACTACTTTCAAAATACACAACCAAACAAACTAAAAAAATTTCTAAACTCTCTTTCCAAAATAATTTTTAAAAACTACTCTCCCAAAATCAAACCAAACATACCCTCAATTTCCTATATAGGAAATTGAATGTTACCATAGATTATAGGTGTCACGTTACGTTACATTTATGTAGATATGATCTATGGTAACATATAATTTTCTATATAGGAAATTGCATGTTACCATAGATCATAGGTGTCACGGTACGTTTATGTAGGTGTCACGTTACATTATATTTATATAGATATGATATGTGGTAACATTTAATTTCTTATATATGGTTTTACCATTATTTATGATATTAACAACTAATATTGAGGGTAAATGTGTCAACAAACTTCTCACAGGATTTATGAGAACATAAGTTTTTTAGTAGAATCATATGTAGCATAAGTCTCTCTAATAAGATTTATAAATAATTTTTTCTAAAATTTTGTAATAAAATTATGTAAATTTATAGCAGGGTGGATATGCTTTGCAGACCATGGCTTTCCCATTCTAATGGGACAAAAATGTTTCATAAAGTGTTGATTTCAAATGTGGATTCCATATCATGCAGATCTCACTCTTTGTGAGACATATGTAGCTCATTATGTATTTAGTTTTTGTACACATAGACTTATTAATAATTTTTTTTTTTCATCATTTTTTTTAAACTTATTTAAAAGTGTAAAAATTTTTATTTCATCTCTTTACAACCATTATAATTACGAAAATAATCTCATGGCCAACCCTTCTCATCTATTTACACTCTTAATTTTTCAAATTCTAACCCACATCCACCATTATTTCCAATCATCACCTTAGCCCCTTCCTTATCCTCTTTACCGCGCCCAGTGGCGGAGCCAAGAAAATAAATCAGATGGGGCATTTTTTAATTACAATATTAAAAATATTTACAAAAATATTTCACATAAATTTTTACAATTGACTTCGAGAAAGATAAAAAAATAAATAATAATAATCAGTGTGTTTGGTTTAAATTTTTTGAATTAAGTTTTTTGAAAATTAAGTTTTTTATTTTTTATTTTATTTGTTTTTAGTGAATATTTTTAAAATTTTAAGCATTTTTTTTTTTACTTTTTTAGATGCATGATGTATCTAAAAAAAATAAAATATTTGTGAAAAAATATTTTTTAAAATTAATAAATACATAAAAATACGAAAAATGTACTAATTTTTTATATTTTTTTATATTTTTGGTATTTACTGAATTTTTTAAAGATTTTTTCCCAAAAATTATACTTTTTCAATATATTTATGTTAGGTGTGTCTAAAAATTTAAAAAAAAATTACTTAAAATATTTTAAAAATTCAATAAAAACAAAAAAATACAAAAAACGAAAACATAGAATTTTTTGAAAAGTGTTTTTAGAAAACTCAAACCAAACAAAGTGAATATGCTATTTGTAATTAGTGTATCATGGATAACATTAAAAAAAAATCATGGATATAAATTTTAAAATAAATTATATAATGATAAAGTAATTTTTTATTCAAAATATGCATAAAAATTCAATATAATAGTCATACCACGTAATCATTGACATGTGATATTACCAACCAATAATAAAGAAACACATGGAGGATGAACCCTACATATTAAATATAACTAACAATTCAATAAATTTTATATTTTCATTGAGATTAATTATATTTGCATATATTGTGATAGAGATCACCATTATATTAAAATTTTCATAAATAATAATATCGTTGTCTCTTTATTTTCAATCAAAACAATCATTATTGTTTTTATAATTTTCAAAATATCATTGACATTTCACTCTAAATAATATTTTTATAAATTTTTTTATATAAAATTTTTCTTTATGTTTGTAAAAAAAATAAAATCCAAAACTTGGTGGGGAGGCACGTGAAACCCCTCCCTCCGCCCTCCGCCCCTAAACATTCTTCAACCACCGAATTGGCCTTTCTAATATGTTCATAAAAAATATTTTTTTAAACATTTTTTTTCAATGTTCCTTTTTTTGTTCGTCGAACCAGAGTCGGAAAAATTTTGTTTGTTCAAAGGACATGGCCTAACAAACTTGTTCGATTAGAAACGGCTTTATTTGGTCGTGTCCTACCAAACAGGTTAAAATTGATTAACGGCCATAGAAGTCCAAACAATCTCAATTTGTTTGGCAAACTAGAGATGGAAGAAATTTTGAACTCACTTTTTTCAAATAACGCAAAATTATACCAAAATTATTGAAAATCATACCCAAACATCTTTCAATCATAAATTTTGTGTATTATTTATTTATAATAATTATATATACATTTTAAATATAATTTTATTTCCTGCTTTTTTTTTGTTATTTATATGGCGTTACCACTTTGACCCGAGTAAATCGACACTCGGGGCCCACCTAAAAAATAGACCAAACTTAGGAAAAAATTAACCATTTCCAACAAGAGGTTGAAGACGTGAGAAAGGGTGGCGGTGGCTGGTGGAGAGAGAATGGTGGCTAGGCGGTAGTGGTGGGTAATGGAAACAAAAATGAAAGAATGTAAAGAGAAATGTGAAGAGAAAGGTTTAGGACTTTTAGTTATAAATAGTAATTTTATAAAGGGATAAAATATAATAAAAATGGGGATTTTTTTTAAAAAAAAATCCTATTTATAATACTCATGTACCAATTGCAATTAGTCTAAGTTAATTTCGTACAGTCCATTTTAGTCCTTCAGCCATTCAAAGGACCAAAAACCTCAACTTTAAATTTAACACAAGAAATAAAAACTGAATCTATGTTTTAGGAGAAAATCACATTGAATACTTACCACATTTGAATTATAATTTATATATTAGGGAAAAATCATAGAAGCTAATAAATATCCTATTTAAAATCTTATTGTTCATAGATATATATAAAGTATACGAACATAGAAACCGAACATAGAAACCAAACACAGAATGGGATACAACCTTCTCACAAGGGGTGGGATTGTGGGAAGATTATATCCTATTATGTGTTTAATTTTTGTACACATAGACTTCCTGAATTTTTATAAATATGAAAATTGAAAATGTAAACATTCATACTTTCAATAAATAAAATAATGTATATTTTTAGAACGAAACCGGTAACCGTAAGTATTCACATTTAAAACAATGACATAAAAAGTAAGTACCAAACTTCATACTTTCATTCAACAAATTTACTAAAACAATTATAATGTCATACTTTTTTACTAAAATTATTCAAATTATCAAATAAAAAGTATATGATAATTATAAGATTATGACCTTTCACACTTTTTTATAACGTTAAAATTAAAAAATCATGCAACAAAAAATCTAAGTGATTATCAAAATATAATGTGAATGTTCACAGTAAAGAATGAATATACAACTAATCTTTGAAAAAACAAATCACATACTAAAATATAGTGTAAATATTTACAATAAATAATAAATATATAACTAACTTTTGAAAAAATAAAACTCATACAAAAATATAATGTGAATGTTCACAGTTTACAACTAACATACAACTAGTCTTAAAAAAATTAAACTCATATCGATGGGAACATTCACACTGCAATGTAACATACAACTAGCCTTAAAAAAATTAAACGTAAAAAAAAAAAAAAACTGAAAACTAAAAACGGAAACACATTTTTTGTGTTTTCATTTTTTGGCCAAATTTATAAACTGAGTCCACTTATTTATAAATCAGAAATTTTACCAAACAAGTTTTTATTTGAGTTTTTTAAATTTTTA